TTTTTTTTTTTTTTTTTTTTTTTTTTTTTTTGGCTTTAGTTGGCCATCATTTTACAATGGACATGAGTCTGAATTAAAAAACAGGTTTTGTGGCCTTTTCATATGGAACAAAATAATGGAAAAGAACAACAGAGAAATGTAGTATTGCATGTTGGATGATGATGATAATTATCATCAGCTTACTTTTGAAAAAATGCATTAATCCCGATTAATTTTGTCACATTGCAGCCTTCTCTCTTCAATAACCTATTCTCCTAAATCAGAACGTAAAACACCTGAGCCCTTAATACCAGCAGACAGTGACAATGAAAAGGGAGAAAGGAATGGGAAAAGGGTCTGTTTCAATGTAGCAGGTGATGAGCAGGAAGATTCTGGTCATGACACCATCAGCAACAGGGATTCATACAGGTAGATTTACTAATAATCTTTTTTATTTCAATCTTTCGGATACAGCAGCATAATGTGCAGCATTGTAGATTTTCAAAATGGCTTTAAAGAATATCAAAATACAATGGTTATTACTTCTTGTAAAGGGAGAATTTTATATTTTAGTAATCAAGATGTATTATTTTCTATTGTAATACAAGTCTTTTCCTGTAATAATAACTAGAGATGGACCTTTACCAGAACTCTGGATCTGAATATCCCCAGAGGAGCATAGCCAGAACTATGGATCCATTTGCCAGGTTCTGATTCAGTCTGCTGCAGAACATAGAAACAGACAGTTTTGGCTATGGTGTTCTGTAGTGGAATTAGGCCCAAGCAAACCCCCAAATGTTTGTATTTTGAGTCAGTTTCCAGATCTAATCTCAATCACAGTTAAAGACCTGAATAAAAATCTGAACCCCAAAATTTAACTCTGGTAACATCCCAGTCTAAACATTGCTGGATCATCCTATCTCTAGTACTAACAATAATAAAAGTTTTACTATGGAATTAAAAAATATAATACTTTGAAAAAGAAGTACTATTCATAGCAACTGTGAACATTTTCCGATACTTAGAATGAAGAATGGATTATGTAAATGCAGATGATGTATATTCAGTTTAACTTCAATTTGCAATTTAAACAGATTACTGGGGTCAAAAAGTAAAAAGTCTCTTAGAATGGTGGAATAGTAGCAGCACTCTTTGTTATTTTGAAGACCAATTTCATGAGCTAACGTTTGATTATTGCAGCATGGCTGATATGAACTTGCAGTTTGGTGTCTGAAGTGGAAGGAACTAAATGCTTCTTAGATCATCTGCTTTAGTCTGATCCCAAACTTCTGTAATCTTTCTAACGTGTGTAAAAAATACCCCCAAAACAAACAAAAAAAACCCCTCAGATTCCCATGCACATAATACCAATTATTAGTGCAACTGTCACTTATAACAGTGGCTATTTTAAAAATATTATCTAATGTAGTTAAATGAACAACCAGCAAATTCCAGTAAATCACTGTAAATGCAATTGAAATAATAGAATATCAGGGTTGGAAGGGACCTCAGGAGGTCATCTAGTCCAACCCCCTGCTCAAAGCAGGACCAATCCCCAATTTTTGCCCCTAATCCCTAAATGGCCCCCTTAAGGATTGAACTCACAAGCCTGGGTTTAGCAGGCCAATGCTCAAACCACTGAGCTATCCCTCCCCTCTTGTCTCTGTGTGAGAGCAGCCATTATGGGAAATGTAGGACATTTTCATTTATTACTTGTGTTCTTATGCAAATTTCTATTAAACACCACAATACAATACTTATGCAGAAATATATGGCTAAGAAGTGGTTAAATATGATTTTCCCCCATGTTTACCCGTGTTTTATTCTTTCGTGCTTTGTTCAGTCCAGTTTTAAATGACCCTAGTGATAAGCTTTCCACCATTCTCCCTTGGGAGACTTTTCCAAAGTCTGTTAGAGCTCATCATCAGAAAATATTTCTTAATATCCAGCCAGAAATTCTCGTTACTCTTCGGGACTCTATGCTAGAAACATTTTGTTACCAACATGGTTTCAGTCATTTAGTGGACAGCACCCTAAATTATATCCCCCTCATCCTATCCAAAAATGATCTTCCCTCTTTGTGGTATTAACATATATGTAAACAATTTATAAATACACATCTACCTCTATATAACGCTTTCCTTGGGAGCCAGAAAAGCTTATTGCGTTATAGGTGAAACTGTGTTATATCGAACTTGCTTTGATCCACCAGAGTGCGCAGCTCTGCCCTCCCACCCCCCGTGAAGCACTGCTTTACCGCGTTATATCCAAATTCATGTTATATCGGGTCGCATTATATCGGGGTAGAGGTGTATAATAATAATATAAAATGGAGTCCTATTTTATTAACTTTGTTATGCATGGTATGAAGTAGGGCATGCATTTGGAACTCTGCAGCCATTTTAAACTAAATGCTTTTATAGAATAGAATTTAGAATCATAGAGTTTAAGACTGGAAGGGACTGCCCGATCATCTAGTCTGACCTCTTCTGTATCATAAGCTGCCAAACACCCCTCAGCCACCCCCATACCAACCCCAACAGCCAGAACTAGACCAAAAAGTATTACAGCTCTCAGGAGACTGAGCTATTATGTGCCACTGGCAGAGAATAAGGGACTGAGATGCATCAATGCCCAAGGCCCCTATAATGGCAGGAAATTGATTGAGAGGTACCTAGATGATAAGTTTCTCTTACATTCATAGGACATTGTGGACTCCCTCTGCTGGATAATTACTTTAACACCTGAAAACACTTACATTTAAACCAAATACTCTGGTGCTGATTAGATGATATGGCTGACTTGGTTGCTGTTACAGCCTGTGGGTTCAAATCCATTTGGAAATATGTTTACAAAAAATCTTAGATTTTTCCCCCTCAGTGTGATATGGATGAATTCATTCTCACTCCTTGTACAGAAACACAAATTTGGCATAAAAAAAATCACATGACTGTACAGTGATCTCTGCAGTACCAAAAATAGTAGAAGTCTCCATATAATCAGATACAGGGAGAAGTAAAATCCTCACCACTACCACCTGCCCCCTACTCTATACACACAGGAGCCCTCATCTGGATTCACATGAGTAGACTTTTGTAGCCACAGAGAGTTCCAGAGAAGTCACTGGGGCTTTGTGCAGGTGCAGAGGTCCACTAGCACTTATCCTATTGCACTGCCAGTAGCTCAGAGGGTAGGCTCATAAACCATGGTTAAAGGGAGAAAATTGTCATTTTTAATCTTGTTTAATAGTTTAATTCTTTTCTAACCTCATTATAAATTCCAGTTTGCAAGTCCGAAGCCAGCATGCTTCATCATTTATAAGAGTTATGGGGTAGGTAGTGTGACAGACCCAGACCAGTTGGGTACAGGAGTCTGGTAGAGGGCAAATATACTGGTCACTGGATGAGTAGTTTTTTGTTCCCTGAGTGACCAGAGCAGGGGCTGCACTAGAGTAATCAGGAACCTGCTAGAACCAGTTAAGGCAGGCAGGCTAATTAGGACACCTGGAGCCAATTAAGAAGAAGCTGCTAGAATCAATTAAGGCAGGCTAATCAGGGCACCTGGGTTTTAAAAGGAGCTCACTTCAGTTTGTGGTGCAAGTGTGAGGAGCCGGGAGCAAGAGGCGCAAGGAGCTGAGAGTGAGAGGGTGTGCTGCTGGAGGACTGAGGAGCACAAGCGTTATCAGACACTAGGAGGAAGGTCCTGTGGTGAGAATAAGGAAGGTGTTTGGAGGAGGCCCTGGGGAAGTAGCCCAGGGAGTTGTAGCTGTCATGCAGCTGTTACAGGAGGCACTATAGACAGCTGCAGCCCACAGGGCCCTGGGCTGGAACCCAGAGTAGAGGGCGGGCCCGGGTTCCCCCCAAACCTCCCAATTGACCTGGACTGTGGGTTCTCCCAGAGGGGAAGGTCTCTGGGCTGTTCCCCAACCCACATGGTGAATCTCTGAGGCAAGAAAATCCGCCAATAAGTGCAGGACCCACCAAGATAGAGGAGGAACTTTGTCACAGTAGGTGTACAGAATTTAAATGTGGAGAAATTAACACATTTGAGGCCACATCTCCAAAAACAGCCACTCACCTGCATGAAAAGTTACTTGATTTTTATGTGGGGGGAGGGATAGCTCAGTGGTTTGAGCATTGGCCTGCTAAACCCAGGGTTGTGAGTTCAGTCCTTGAGGGGGCCACTTAGGGATCAGGGCAAAATCAGTACTTGGTCCTGCTAGTGAAGGCAGGGGGCTGGACTCGATGACCTTTCAAGGTCCCTTCCAGTTCTAGGAGATGGAATATCTCCATTTAAAAACAAACAAACAAAAAAACTGTATATTTTCAATGTGAAACTACTTGTTCACACACATGAGATGGGGACAACCGAAGCATCTATTCTGGGAATCTAGCCCTCTGAGTCCTATCAGAGACAAATAGTAGTTTCTACATATTTTGTATGATGTCATAAACTTAAAGTCAAGGGTAAAGCATTGTAAAAGGTCTCGGGAAGAGAGGAAAGTTTAAGATAAAGGAAAGGCACTGTACTTTTTGTGCTTTGATATAGTACCTGTACTTCAGGATGCACTATTTTGTTTTGTTTTTCAAGTGATTGCAATAGCAACAGGAACTCCATTGCCTCATTTACCAGCATTTGCAGTAGCCAGTGCAGTTCTTACTTTCACAGTGATGAAATGGACTCAGGTAAGATTAAAAAATAATCTACAAATTCCTCTATTAGTTCTTCTGGAGATAGTTTTTGTTTGTTTTTTTTATTCATAGGCATGTCTGTCTTCATCATAATCAGTGGCAAGAGTGTAGCATTTCACTTCTGCTTAGTGTATGTTGCACTTTTACCCTTTCTGTATAACAAAGCCAATTTTCCAATCCAGCTGAAAATATAGTGGATTAGTAAAAGATGTCAGAGACTCATTTTAACCAGCTTCCCACTTTGGCCTGGGCAATGCATTATGTTGCTCAAAAGAAGAGGAATTTTACATAAACAGGGAGTTCTGTCTCAGAGAGGAGATAAGACTCTGAATACAAAATTCCACTGTGTACAAATGCTGGGGAGAGTGAGACCTCAGAAAGACACGCTCACCATAATATTCTATTCTATGTCAAGGTTGAACAAATTGAATTTAAATAATCATAGATGCAAATTCTTACCTATTTGCCACTTGATAGTTCCTTTTTCGTTTTAATGCCATATTTATCCCTCTTGAAAAACTACTGAACTATCAGAGCCATTTCATTAGCAATAGTATTAAGATTGTGAAATATTTGCAGGGTCCTTATAAAAATGTTATGTCAGTGCATTCAGTGACTGTGGTCTAGGTGGTATAAATAGCTAGCTGATATTTTAGTGATCTTGTCATTTTTCTTTCAGAGAACTGTGGTCTAGTTGGTGGAACACATATCAGGGACACCTGACTCCTAGTTTCTGTTTCCAACTTTTACAATATGGCCTGGGCATTTTGCTTAAAGTTTCTGGCCCTTAGTTTATAAAAGGGTATAAATAATACAATAGTTACCTACTTCACAAAGGGTGATGTGTGATTTATTGTACAGATGCCATGTTGTTGTTGTTTACTTTTGCTACATTATAAAACTAGCCTACAAAAGAATCTCAGATTAGTGTAAAGTGCTAAATACAGAACGATCTAAAAGCTTAAGCATCAGCTTGTATGCATAGCAGAGTAGCCCAGATCTGTATGATTTTGAAAAGTATGCTGAGCCCTGAAGTTAATTATGATTTAAAATATTTTACACACAGGTGATGAACTTCCCTTAAGTGTTCGCATTTCTCATGATAAACAGGACAAACTTCATAGCTGTTTGGAGCATCTTTTTGGTCAGGTATGAGATTTTTTTTCCTTAGACTGCTTAACAGTATTGGTCTATATTCAAACCATCAGGGAAAAGCTGGCTGCCGCAAGTGGGGGTTTCCTTGCTGCTTCTGCTTTCCACTGTTTACTTGAATGAAACGTATTACTTTTTATCCTTCCCTGGGGCTACTAACCCAGAATTACTGAAGAGAACAGTTCCTTAGATTTATCCTAACAAATTTTCTAATCTTGAGTTGTTAGCTACAGCCAACATTTAAATTACCGTAATTACAAACAAATATAAAGTAATCATTTTTTCACTATTCCTTTTTTCTCATTCAGAGCAGATCTTTCTAAACATTGCTATGAAAAAGGCAAGCCACTCACAGAACTTTGATCCTAACAGGTAGACTCAATTGTCAATCTTCTGAAAGGACCAGCTGTAATGAGGGCCTTTGAACAAACCAAGTTCTTTACGCCAGGTCGAGGCCTGCAAGGTAACATTTAAAGCTAACTACTAGAATCAACAGGTGGCACAAAGAGATACAGGGCACATCTGTATGAAAATATAGTATTTGATTTGGATGTTAAAGAACAACCCAATCTTTTCTGTTCATGTTACATTCTGGAATAATTGCCATTCAAATTTTTTATTACATAGATATTACTATTCTTAGCTAGTACATTTTCACTTTCCTTGCATAAGGCATTTAGGTTTTCTTGAAAGTTAAGCTGAAATTACAGCATCTGAATTGAATATAAAATTGCTGAGGCTTTGAAGCAAAAATCAGTTTTAACATATTACAAGTGTTTTTTTTCTTATTCATATTATTTCTGTTCTAGCAACTGAAGCACTTTCTGATTACATTTAACTATTAATGCCTGACTTTTTCTATCTTTGTGGATATTTTCTTCTTGTAAAATTGTACTTCATAATAATAAGCAACACTTTAGTGTGAATTCTTATTCTAAATATTAATTATTTAAAATAATTCTAGGTGCAATTTGAGGCCCTGATCCTTCTGAGAGTTATGTATATGATTAACTTTAGGTCTGCATACATGCTTCTTTATGTGTAGGTCCGAAGTTAATCATGTATATAAGTGTTCAGTCTAAACTTAAATGTGTGTGAAGTGTTTGCAGGATTAGAGCCATTTAGCAGGATTGATACACTTTTTTTAAAATTGCTACTGAAAGGCTTTTTGGGTGAACTGAGTTTGAAAAAAGACTGTATGGGAGATTGGGAAATACAACTGAATGTTGTGTGGGTAATAGAAATAATGCTACTGTAAAATGCTTTGGTTTCTGAGTTAGTGTCAACATATACAACTTTCAGCAAATAAAATGCATTAATTATAGAGGGTCATTGATCAGATCCTTAGCTTTCATAAATCAGCATAGTTCCATTGAAGCCAGTGAAGCTACACCCTTATATACCAGCTTGTTATCTGACCCTCTGATGCATCATGCCCTTCCACTCACTAACCCTGCAGTGAGTCGGCCCAGAAGTTAATACAGACATAGTGAGATTTCTTTCTAGCAGCTATTTTCATTTTTAGAGCCTTTAAAGTTGTTTTAGGGAAAGATGGGTATGACCCACAGATGACATTTATGCACACCAATATTTATCATTGTTTTCAGACTGAATGCCTGGCAAAATTTTCCACGACAAACCATTCAGAAAACATTATTTAATTATAAATGTGCAACTAGGTGCAAGATATGAAATATCCAATATTAAAGACCCAAAAAGATATCCATTTCACAAAGATGATTTAGAACAAGAACCAAAAAAAAAGGGGGATGTATATTCTGTGTGACAATGCAGCTTTATATAGATATACCATAATAATGTCAGGGATACTTTTAGTGATCTGAAGGCTAGTCTAGGTTAAACAGCCAAAGTTTCTGTGTTAAGTAAGGAAGATTATTTTTCTGATAATTTTGGTATAGCTTATTGTCCACTATTATATGAATTCTTGAGTGGATGTGATAAAGGTTTAAAAAAGCCCTTAAACCTTGAAACACGTAGTTGAATTCATGTGTTATTTAAATTACTTATTACTGATGTACTTTTTACTTGTTTACTTTACTAATTACTTATTGCTTGACTTTTTATACAGGTATTTAGTGAATTAAATTATCTGAAAAGCTATAGGTAACAGCAGTCAAGACAAAATTTCAGGAAATTGCAGGCACTTCTTAATGTTAAGACTGTTCAACTCAGAAAGAAATACAGTGGGTTTCTGAGGATGTTTAAACTAAAGAGGTATTTTTTTCCTTTGCTTAGCGTTTCAGCAGGAAATGGAACCTAAGCTTAGCTGTCCAAAGAGATTACGACTTCACATCAAGCAAGACCCTTGGAACCTTCCCAGCAGTGTCCAAAATCTTGCACAGAATATCAGAAAATTTGTTGAAGGTCAGTAAGAAAAACGTAACCCTCAATAAACTCATAGCTAATGAGGGAGGGTGGAGGAAGGATATAACAGGTTTATGTTGTCCGTGAGGCCAGGTCTGCAGAGTAGCATGTAGCCAATAGGAAATTTCTAAATTCCAGCACAGCTTGTGATCTCAGTAGCAAGACTAATGGAGAGTAGTTTAAATCAGAGATTCTCAAATTATGGGGTACGCCTCCCTCGGGAGGTGTGGGCCTGCAGCAGGGGAGGTGCCTGTTGCCTGTCTTTTGGCCAGGATGTGGTGCTGCATGTCAGAGTGAATCCAGAACTCTGCTCGGGCTGGGAAGGGGCAGAGGGAGCCAGGGCTCCACCCAAGGAACAGTGCAGGAATGGGGGCATACCAGGGGGCAGGGATACCAGGGAAAGCAGCTTGCAGGTGCTACTCTGCTCCCTACCCAGGGCTATGCTCCCCAGCGTGGCCCTGCTTGCTGCAGCGCAGCAGCTCTCCTGCTTCCCCATTTCCCCCCCCCCCCAGCATCACAGGACCTCTCATGCCCCCCATTTTATTCCCATGCTGATGCCCAGCTCAGATAGAGCTCCTCCATCTCCTCTGGTGCACCTCCCTTTGGCTGAAGCACTCCCTGCAGTATCCCAGGGGCTCTCCTCTATCCCCATGTGTCTCCTCTTCTCAGCCCTGCCCTGCAGTGGTGGTGTAGTGGCTCCCCTCCTTCTCCATGGTCCCCACCCCCATCACAGCCCTGTCCTGCAATATCCTGGGGGATTCGCATCATTCACTGCAGAGCTACCGCTCATTCCTGGGCAGTGGGGCTGGGTGAACTGGGCTTACCAGAAGGGTTCTCTTTCTGGTCCTCTGAAGCTGTTCATTTCTGGGTCAGTACCCCCATCAAGGCGGCAGCCCTTGTGTGAAGTGGGCTCTGAACTCTGCTGAGGTCCTTGGTGTCACCTTCCTCCCCATTCCTGGGGAAGAGCCAACAGGGGTCAGGATCCCTGTGGCTGTTTAGGTCAGGTCTCAGGAGGATCCGGGGCCCTGTGCAGTTCTTGTTGGGGTGATGTACTCCCTCCCCCATGGTAATAGTCTAGTTCCAGCTGGTGACAGCGGTGGTCAGTCCTGGCTACTAACTCAGTACCCTCTTCAACTTCTTGCTGCTCTGGACCTACACGGAGCTCCTGGTGCTTGCAGACCTGTGAGTGCCACACTCTGGCCCCCATTCTGCCCGGGAACCCTGCTGCCTTCACATGATGGGCCACATGCACTAAAGGGGATCCCTGTTCCCTGCCTGTAGGCCCAGCACCCGTGAGACCTTGTCTCTTCATTCTTGGGCCCCAGAGAAGTGAGGGTTGGGGGATGTGTCGCACAGTAAGTGGGGATTATGATGACCTAAAATGTTTGTGCAATTTAATTGCTGCTGCGATTTGTACTCTTTGTAACAGAAGTGCAAGATAACACACTTGTACTCTTATAATTATATTGATCAAAGCCCTTCTACTTTATTACTTGTATCTTTGCAAAATATAGGATTTTCAGTTATTTGTGTTGTCTTAATAAACTGTAGAGAGGTGCAGTGTTGTTTTTATTAGCTTAGGGAAGTTCACTATGACAAAATCTGAGAACACCTAATTTAAATAATATCTCGGAGGTAGCTAAGGAGAGATGCCAGCAGAAGCTTTGGAGGCAAAAGGGAATATTGTCTTCTCTGAGTAGCAGGCGCAAGGGGAATTTGGACTCTTAGATGAAGATGCTGAGTGATTCAAACACCTATTGAAGTTAGTGGTCCTGTTTCTGTTCCCACTGAATTCAGTGAGAACACTGACATGCAAAGGGAGCATAGCAGGCCTAATTGAACTTGAGTGTGCATTTCACAGGACATGCTCAGCAGTTTTCAGGACCTGCCTTTTTGATTGCCCTGTTTGATAGGGAAGCAATGAAAAAGAGAAGCTTAAGGGATTTATAAAACTATGCAGTGGAATATTGCAACATGCATCTCTTTGTGGGAACCAAAGCCAGCTGTAGGTTGCTTCAGTCTAAGGTTAAAATTATTTGTTTGTACATTTAGCAGCTTCATTTTATTGGCTAATTTCCATGATATCCCATGATGAAACTGCTCTTCAAACTACCAAAAGAATTTGTGATATGCTTTATAAATATAAACTTTAAAAACCATAAGAATGGCCATACTGGGTCAGACCAAAGGTCCATCTAACCCAGTATCCTGTCTTCCGACAGTGGCCAATGCGAGGTGTCCCAAATAATCCCCTATGGTATTTCTAAATTTAGATCCTCTGAGATCTTCAGACACTGGGATAGAAAAGTCCAAAACCACACAAATCTCTTCTCTACAAATCACTAAGGTCAAAATCTGTAAAATCTAGAAAGCCAAGTCAACAAAATACACATTTATATTGTAATGGCTGCCACAGAATCAACAGGGAACAGACTGTTTTCAAAAAAATCTAGTTCCTAGCAAAAACCGAAACCCAGGTACATTCTAGCATTAATCATGGATGGTTTAATTGTTTTGAAGAAGTGAAAACTTAAGTCTTCACCAATCGTTTGACACCCTCTAAGAGTCAGTCAGAGCTCAACGGGCCATTCTGATGTGACTAGTTTGTCCATAAATGACTTAAATAAACTTATGCCCACCTCAAAATTGGTCCTACTGTGTCCTAGGAATCTCACCAAGATCGTTCAAATAAATCTTGTTTTAAGTTTATTGGAAAAGTTACTTCCTTTTTTAGAGAGTTTTAAAGAAAGGTTCAACGGGGTCCAAATGACCTCCTGCTTCTGCATAATACAGAGTTTCTCTTTTCACAACACTGTCATTAAATAACATTGATTTTATTAGACAGATCTTTGGTGCCTGGCTGGACAATTAACAAAAGCATAGTGTGTCAAATTGACATTCTGCTGCAAAAATGCAGATTAAAAAAATCAGTTAAGAATTTATTAAATCTTTATTTTTAATGACTAATTTTAAAGTAAATGTTGTGCTTGTAAAAGATGCTGAGTTATGACATCTGAAGAGTGAAACCCTCTGTCCACACAGATGCTACTACAAGCCCAGGAGCATGAGCTTCCTTATATTGCCCTACCAATGTGTCCCAAGCATGGTCTGAGGGGATAACTCTGGAAGTGAAAAGATATCCCACTCTCTGCCCATTCTGTCCATGGCATCTGATAATTATCTACTAGAAAATTGCAGCAACCAGCTCTCATGTGACTTCTTTAACCAAATTAATCATTTGTTAATAAATTTAGTCACTACTGTCTTTGCCTGGATCCAATTAAACAAGTCTGTTCCCCATCGCCAGTCCCCTCAGCCATGTGCTCTAATTATTTTTTTCATTTTGAATTTGAAAAAAAAGTTAATTGATTTCTCAAATTATTCTAATATCTCATGAGTGTTCATAAAAAAAAAAAAAACCACTCGGGATCCTGGGCAAGACCATCACTCCTGTCCTTACACCAGGTAATGGGGTGATGTGATGAAAAGGGGCCCTAAGAGCCAAGCTCCCCATGAGCCTGGCACAGGCACTGTCAGAGTCAGCCATAAGGCTGGCTTTGGAGGACCCTTTGCAAGTCCTGGTGAAGTGGGTGTGTCAAGGGTGTGGCTGCAGCACACAGTGTTGCAAGATTCTAGGCAGTACTGTGACCCATAGGACAGCCTGGGGAAGCTGCTGTTACTTATACAGCCCTAGGAGCCTGTCTAAGTTGTGTTGTGGGTGTCTCCAGCCCCCAAGTAGTCCAGGATCAGGAGAGCACAAAGCAGGCTTAAAGCATCTTTCAGAGTCCCTTCCCCTGTGCTGTGCCTCTGAGTTTCATGCCATTTGTTGTCTCCACAAATGATCAAGGCATTTAGCAGACAGACTAGCCAGCCTGCAGTTCTGTTTTGGGATATTTCTGACTGAAACTAATATGAGGTTTGAGCAGCGAATTTAAAGTTACTTGACCTCTCCCTTTTGCTCTTTTATTTACCTGATTCAGAAAGAACAAAAATTGGTCCCTAATTCATTTTTATATTTTGCATTTTAAGACAAAAATTATTTCAAGCCAAAAGCTGAATTGAACTTCCTCCCAGATCTGTGTTTCAATGATCAGGCACAAAACACAGGAGTCAGTCAAAAAAATTATTAAGTGTTTTCTATTTAGTGTTTAAAAATATTTTATATTTGCGCTTGATGTGGCTGGTTGAAAGTGTTGCCATACAACTTAGCAAGCCCATCCTTGGTTAGGCCATTAGTGTACTCTTTAAATGTGTGTGTTCAATAGAATTTCAGTTGTAAGTAGGTGAATCTTCATATTTCTACATAAGCAGAAGTTAAGTGACTATATTTAATAAGGCGAAAAGAGGACATTTATGTCTCTTGAGTCAGATTTAGGTTTCTGTGGTAAGTAGATGAGGAAGCCCTCAAAGCCTCTTTGGTTACCACCTAAAGAAATGTTTAGTGGTGAATAGTGGCTATAGTGGTTGAAAACTTGTTTAACCATTATTGATGTTAACTAAGTGAATCCATTTATTGAAAACTGACTCCAGTGCTTAGATTTTAATAGAAAACTCAGAAGCGGTTGTATTTTCTTGTTGATAGTTCTGTTGCCTTCAATAACATGCTGTATTAAATTAGAATGATTCACTATTTAAAGCAGATGGAGATGTAGGAACCCCATAAAAGACACGTTTAACTTTTACATTGCAATGTTTTTTAATTTCTGTTGTGTAATAAATAGGAAGAAAAGAGAAAATTCTTAATATTTTCAGGATGGACTTTATAGTCCAGGGGTCGGCAACGTTTGGC